TGTGAGAGGGAGGGGCTATATGTGAGAGGGAGGGGCTGTATGTGAGAGGGAGGGGCCGTATGTGGGAGGGAGGGGCCGTATGTCGGTGGGGGGAGGGGCTATATGTGAGAGGGAGGGGGCTATATCGGTGGGAGGGAGGGGCTATATGTGAGAGGGAGGGGGCTATATGTGAGAGGGAGGAAAGATCTAAAAAATCTGACTGGTTGATGTGTCAATTCTCATATATTCTTTCAATTTTAGAAGATATGGCGTTAACTGCAGTGTATCATTTGGTGCGGTTTCGACTTCCCGTCGGTGATTGTGTCGGGCCCTTATGGCTGTGGTACATTGCCAAAGTCTGTGAATATACATCGAGTTTTTTTCTGACGTGAGTATAGCTTTGATAAATCATTTATGAAAAGAAAACCATACATTTCGGAATTTTAACGAGGAAAAAATAAAGGGGAATAAACAAAAACAAATCAACAACAGTGATCTTAGCATGAAAACCACAACGGGGCTGGACCAGGATTCGAACCCCGGACCTTGGATCATAATGCTGCCGCCCTAACAAGCTGCGCTATTTGTTCAACAGTAGTATTTTCGCTAAGCCGAGTAACAGTTGCATCTAAAACGAAAGTGTATATGTTGTTGTATGTAAGAAAACCTATACAGTGGAATACTCTCGTGTTTTCCCTGTAGTGGGACCGGGATCCTTAACTCATTCACCCCTGAAATTTCATAATGAGGTATTCCAACCTTTGGATTGGAGGAGTTCAAATGTGTCTTTAGGAGTGAATGAGTTAAGGACCCCTACCCTTCTGCACTGTAGTTTTTTCGAATATACAGTTACCTCCCCTTAATTTCGTTTTGGAAATAATTGTAGTTTAGTTGGGCTATAACGTACACAATCGTTAAACATGTAGCTCAGCCGGTAAGAACGATAGTATAACAATCCAAAGTCCATATGACTTTTTTTCGGAAATTATTTATCGAAACTATTAGTCATGCCGGAAAAACAGTTTCAAATGCATAGTTAGAGGATATGATAGATTGTCCTTCGCTTATCGTGTTTTGTTAATTGTTACACAATAACTTCTATGTAACCTAAAAAGGATTTAATCGAGAAATACCTTCGGAAGTCCTCATCTGTTATTTCTTCATAAAGTCAATGTATTCTCATTCTCAATACTCCAGGGGTTTGGCTCACGTACGCTCTCTGCATCCCTGGAATATTTCATAGCGAAATTGAAGGCACGACGATAGCCGTTTGATTGGTCTCAGGTAAAAAACCAACAAAAATACTGACCAATCAATAGGTTGATACATGACCTTTGAAGATTAAAGAGGAGCGACATGCGACGTCAAAGTCAGTCAATCATACCGTTACACGACCGCGAGATTCTTTTTATGTACATCAAATGAACTTTAGTCTTCTTGTCTCGTCGACAAGAAGGCGCACACTGAGCCTACAATTTTGCTATGACATATTCCACGGGTGCAGAGAGCGAAAGTGAGCGTAACCCCTGGAGTCTCGAGGATGATGTACCCCGACCCGTTCAGTCCGAGAATCATGTGACTCTATCGCCTGATCAGGGTCTCGTTAGACCTGTAAGACTCATTTTACAATCTTACGTCACAAGGATGTATACCTGTGGTATGAAATATAACTACATAGATATTCCATGCGTCATTGATACACATCTTTAAGTTTGTATCTATGTAATGTCAGCGATACGTAGATAACACAGGGACCTGAGCATTTGTTACAGCAGCAAACATACAGCTACTGTATCCAGTTATCAGGTCCCTGTGGTAGTTAACGTGGAAAGCACCACTTTCTCTGACCCTATAACTAACCTAATTTTCTCATTTCTCACTTTGATTTTAATTTCGTTATATTTTTATTTATTTATTTATCTTATCTTATTTATTATTCTTTATTCAATTTATTTTTCTTTAATTTCTTTATTATTTTAACTATATATAGTTGTTAATTCTTCACGCCCACCAACACAATAATTAGCGTGTTACAAACGCCACACGGTAGTAAATGGGTAAAGGTAATATAAGGCGTGTCAACAGACATGCGGAAGTAGATGTAAAGTTGTAGTAAAAAGGCTGTAAGATAAAAGATCCCCAGTGTTTTGATGGATGTAGCAGTCGTATGCTATCCTCAGCAGAAAGAAATCTCCGATTTTGTAAGGGGTCCCACACCTGTCGACCCATGCAATTATGTAGTGGGATACACCAGGGTTTTTTCAGTGGTCACAGAACCTGCAAGGAAGTACTTGGTGTGAGGAACATGACAACAAGCTATGTTGTACAGTGAGACCTGTCTTATCTGATATCATGTGGGATACATATTGATCATATTAAACTGTCTAATCAGACACTGTTCAAAATAACTTAAATATTGCCTATGGCTTGGTAAAACTATGCAAACCAGAAATTATTTAATCCGACACCCTTGTCGGACACAATTTATTAGTCACATTAACCTGTCTAAACTGACAACCTTTCAGACAGTATAGCATGGCAAAAATAACCTGTCTAATCTGACACCCTGTTGGACACAGTTTATTGGTAAGATTTACCTGGTTAATCCGACAACCTTGTCGGGCACAGATTTGTTGGTCATATTAACCTGTCTAAACTGACAACCTTTCGGACACGATAAAACATGGCAAGATAAACCTGTATAATGACACTCTGCATGGTTTCATCATACTTGTCAGATCAACCTAATACGACACCTTCAGATGACGACTCATGTCGGAGATTTTTGTTCATATAAACCTGACCTATCAGACTCACCGTGAAACACTGCATGTTGGTCAGATTTACCTGTTTAACCCGACACCCTGTGGTACACAACATATTCGTCAGTTTGTTTCTGCTTGTTTGTAGCTCAATGCCCTTGCAAGAGCTACGGTCATGTGAAGACGGATGTCGGTGAAGAAGGGAGTCGGATAGCGCAGTGGACAATGCACCCACCTTTCGCCAAGGCGGCTGGGGTTCGATTCCCAGATCGGACGTGAAAAGGTATGGCGTCACCTGCCCGACCACGTGAGTTTTCTCCGGGAACTCCGGTGTCCTCCCACATAAAGACCCCCGCGCGCAAACAACCAGGTCAACATGAGTGATTAATATAAGTTGAAATAACTCGTTTTCATAATTGATGTAAAATAAATAATAAAGTGTATGTATGTATATAAAGACGGTTGTCAGAAGGAAAGGGAGAAAAAAAAGATAAGACAGTCCCCAATTGTTGAAATGGGGGCAGAAGATTAGTTTTGGCTTCTTAAATGTTCTCAAGGTAGAAGACCCTGTCATGAATCCCTAGGACTTCCGAATCTAAACCCTTCCAAGGATCTGTTCAGACTCCAATAGGCAGCCATCAAAACATTATCTTTCGAACAGTATAGTCTTCCATTATAGATTAGCATATATGTATACAGTATGTACACACATTACACATATGCGTATGTATTATGTGAACAACTCAATAATCTGTGTATACGTAGTTACATGTGTGTATCATGTAAGCGTTACATAGAGAAGGGTTAACGGTGTTAGGTGTCCTAATCTCACGATATGCACATGTGCGAATGTACTCGCTCAACACACATAGATATGTATGCACATGTCCAGCTTAGTGACAAAACTATACTGTGAAAACCCGCCATATATATATATATATGTGGGTGTACACATTGACTTATATTACGTCGCACACACACAGCGCACAATTGAAGCACATGTGTATACAGTATTATACTCTATTATAATACATCAGCAGAATCACTATACATATACACATATATATATATATATATATAGTATTGCGTCTTGTGAAATGTTCCCAACATATAAGTTGGACATCTATATATATAAACACGTGTATATGTAGTTTTATTATAATGAGGACGTGTGTAGTGATACATATGTGACGGTAGTCAAACAGTACCCCTGGTAAACAGAAGACTGTGTTCCCTGGTACACACACATACGTATACGATAGATACAGGTACATATGGAGCAGGTGCGCTAAAGCACACGTGTACACAATGATCCCTCCAACACCGATAGAGACCGCAATATACGCCACTGTTTAGTTATTTTATCTCTCCTTTCTTTGTCTGGTGCGGCAAAAGTCTGATGAAGCACTATATACTTAAATCTATTTCCTTGTAATACATTTCTCCCGTTCCTCCCGATCATAATTACGTACTACTTATGAACTACTATATGATGTGATTCTATAACTACAGTGAAATGGATTTGGTTTTATTAGTAATAGTCAATCATCTTCATGGTACGCACATGTACATGTGTGGTATATCGTGTAATTATCGTACACAGTTCGGCATCTATACCGGTACAAAGTAAGCTTAGTATCGTACACAGTTCGGCAGGTAAACTCGATCCATCGTGTGTACACAATATAGTCACTATATACCAGAGACGTATAATACACGTATACTACATGTACATCAATAATAGTTTATACATCACACTGGTGTTAAAGGGGTTGCTTTATATTTTTGGCCCTTTTTTAAATGTGCTAAACCTGGGGCCAGAACACACATGTCCCCCAAGTACCTGCAAAGAGGTAGCAACACATGTCTTTCCTCTGTTGGGGACAATGGCAGACTATTTTGATGAATGTAATACTAGGACCGGTCTATTATGAGGAAATAGGGTATGATCATTCTCTCGATAGAAGCTATTGTACACAAAGTAAAATTATTTTCACATATGCAAAAACAAATGTTATAATTTGCTTTAAGTATTAAATGTATACCGAGTTGAAATGAGCTCTGCACAGTTATGAGTAAAATGATGGCTTCCAGATATACCCCACACACCCTTATTTGGACGATTCCACTAAGTCAATCCCCCTACGTGCTGAAGAGAAGAAAATGACCACACAGAACCTTTGAGGAGGAAATCGTGAAAAAATATCAATTTGATCTAAAGGTAAGCTTATTTCATCATATAATACACAGTTACATGTTATTAACACGGAATATTGACGAATTTACCTGGAGACGTATCTCTTTACATAATCCCTCTACTGTCCGACTTCCATCTGCTCAAGGAGAGATACTTTATGGAATATAGGGCTACAAAGGTAAATATATTTATAACATCTCAATATAACTCACCTATTTGCTATATAAGATGATATTTGAACCATGATTGCTACTTTAGAGTGAATCATTTGATAATTAAGTCTTAACCGTGTACATTACAAAAGAGATGGACGTTATTGTACACACATTGGCTGGGACAAGCAGTCAGCGGTTACTCATGAAGAACAAGTTTACCCCAACTTCATACCGTAATTTTGTTTATTTCAAAACTATTTTTGATATATCTGAACAGACCATTTATTAGATTATTTAATTCTGAATCTAACAGTACCTTTATATTTGCTAAGTATGCTCCGTGAAGGTTTTCCTGATCAATATTTCTATGCATGTACACTCGAATACAGTGAGATTCTCATACGCAGAATACAATATGGCGGCCCGAAATCTCGACCGTGCTACGACTGGTGTGAAAAGAAGTTATACTCTGATTTCTGCAAAACTTGTAGGTGTTGAGACCAGATATCAATATCGTTAGTTAGTTTACATATTTGTTTATTGATTATTACAAGTATTTGAGCTTAATATGAATGCAGTGAGATTGTTGATTGTGAAATAAGGTAGTATTTCTGTGCACAACTATTCTCCTGTTCCGGCGGAATAAACACAGATAAAGCCTACGTACGCGGCATAGGTAAACTGGCATGTTTTGTGTGGACGCTGGGCGCTTTAGTCATGTATAGATTAGAAAATGGGGCAGTCCTAACAAGTATGGCTATGTATGGCTACAAAAGTACTACAACCAAACAACTTCTATATAAAGATGGGAAGGTTTAATTAAATGTATTAAAATAAGACATTTACTATAGTACTAACAACCTGTTATCAAGGAACGTTGATGTTTTTAGTATATAACACATGACCACTTAATTATAATAAAAATGTCTGTTGTTAGATTGGGTATTGTTTAGTGTCAGAACAGCGAGTCACTGGACAGGGAAGGAAGCTATATTTAATTTGTTTCATTTACATGGGGAAAATGTCAGTCAATTATGTACAGCTATACCATAGAACAGATATTTACTTAAATGGCCAACTATTATTACCAAGTTATGTAAATCTTAACATAGAATGTGGAATTCAAGGGGTAATATCTATATTATGATGTGCAAATAATGTCAGTATTATAATATATGTTTGGGTCCCTGGTGATCTAATCCACAATTATACCTGGATAATTCACCTGTATAAGTCGACTGGTGTAGATATTGATTTAAATCTGCATTTTGAATCAATTTGCTGGTATGTTTACCTCTTATATACAATAAGTGTTACTTATATTATGGACCTTACAAAAGTCATTACCCAGTTACTTCCCTTTGATTTGAAAAAAAAAAAAAAATTGGTTGACTCAATTATTGCTGATGCAGTATTAACTCATTCACCCCTGAAGGCACATTTGAACTCCTCCAATTCAAAGGTTGGAATAGTTCATTATGAAATTCCAGGGGTGAATGAGTTAAGCGTTATCATTTTTTTTCGTCAATCAAATAAAATAAGACTAATTAATAGTCTGGATTTTCCAGTAACATCACATAATCAATTTTCTAAAAATATTAAAGATAATTAATGCTGCTTTCCAATTTGAATAAGCTATGCAAAATATGAAACGAAAAAAAAAAGTGATGGAAGCGAAAAAAACTTAGGTTCAATAGTAGGTGATGTGAAAAATATTTTTTTCAAGGTCATTATTCAAAGGCCAAAGTCATAGGGATGGGGATCAAAATTCAAAAGTACAAATTGTTTTCTAGGTAGATAGAGTCAGAAATTTGAAAAAAAGGACAAAGTTGCAGTATACATGCATTTTAAAGATTACTAAACACCACATTCCTTTATTGTACGCTCGCTCTTTATTTCTTATGAACAGGATAAATGTGGCATTTGTTATTTTTCTTACATAGCAAAAGTTATTAACTCTCTGTTCATGCAACACTCAGGAAGTGAAACGCGTCCAAATTATAAGATAAAAAAAGGAATTTTATTTAAATGTGCCATAAAGAATTCGATATTTTACATAATGTTAAGCATTCGCAGACGGGTACATTTGAGGTCATGGCGATGCATGGCCATGCTTAAACATGGTCATTCAAGAGAGCATGGAAGCCGATCAAAAGTGCAATAAATCGAAAGTGTACAATGATAAAACCTTAGACCAATGGAATGCGCTTAAGGAGAAAAAAGGGTTTGTCCACCACTAGGGGTTGCGAGGGTTTTACATGACGGTGAGAGCTGAATCGGCTAAGAGTAACAGTCAGCACGTTTATTGTGTAAACATTACCTCTGACCCGGTCGTAGATATAGTTGCCATTTGTTGGATTCTGCTCTCTAGACATCTTGTGAATTTGCATATGTATAATAATGATGCAAACCTGGCCTCCACCCTGCTTCTGGTGAGATAAGTAGCTTGTCGGGCGGGGGGCGGGAGCTACGCACGCTTATACTTGCCATAAATTTAAGTCATCGGAATTTTAAATTTTTTCAAACTAATATACACTGTACTTTAGTACTTAGTATTTCTGGAATTTCACCACTGCAATAGTATTTTTGGAATTTCACGACTGCAATAGTATTTCTGGAATTTCACGACTGCAATAGTATTTCTGGAATTTTACGACTGCAATTTAAACAACATTTTTGTTCTGACACATTGCGACACGGTTACTTTAAAGGAACATTGAAGACGATCTGTGAAGGTAACAATCTGCCAGTGTTTTGAATTAACTACAAAATGAAGTATATTACAGTTGTTCCTGATGCTTTGTGTTACTACCAAGGTAAAATAAACCCAATCACACTTGTTAATCACACGATGATCAACGGCTTACTGCAACCACACTATAGAGTCCCACTGTTTCGTTTTCATGGCTAATCCCATATCGTCATTAGTGTTTAAGAAGCATGTACCACTGCCAGGGGCAGCAGTGGTTAAGGCGTCTGACATTGTGGTACCACTAGCCCTCCAACACTGGGGCGCGGGTTTGAGACCTTGAGACCAGGTACTGGCCGTAGGTCAATGGTTTTTCTCTGGGAACTCGGGCTTTCCTCCACCACCAAAACCTGACACGCCCTTAAATATCCAGAGCTGTTAATAGGATGGAATAAAACACAAACAAACAAACGGAGGGAAGAAAACCTGTAGAACACAAATAAACGAAACCACTGCCAAAACCTGTCACAGTGCATTGGAAACTGTTCTTTCCAGCATGTTTACAACATTAAGATGTGTTTCAACCATCTTATACATGCATATATAGAAACACTACCTTGACTTGTAAGAGATATGTCACCCAAATTTTAAATCCAATGGAAAATGTCCTGACCCTTCTCCCCTCCCCCCAGTCCATGTTTTCCTCAATTAGTCAAAAGCCTCTTTTTTATGAGGGGAAACTGTATTGTTTTGATAATGTTATTATTGTACTGTATACACATTGGTTCTGTTTTGCCAAGTTTTAACAGCCAAATACAGTTTTCTGCTTCCACTAGCGAAAAAAATTGCTTTATTTGCATAGGTTAATAATTATAACAATGTGTTTTTTAATGATAATACATGGGTGTGCATGCCATGCTCTTCCAAAAAGCTGTCGAATGCAAATGCAGCACACACATTTATCTTCATACAGATTTAAAGATTTGTTCACCTACTAACAAACAAAGTTTTCATTTCATCTCTAGAAAACTGATAAAAATGCGATTTTGAAATAGTGTTTGTAAGTCTGTCAAGTGTTGGTTTCATGTGTTGACAAATGATGTCGATAGATGGATGGTTGTGATTGACTGAAATAAACAAGTTATATAAAGGATGACGTCAGTGTTTATTGTTTATCATCTGCTGAATAGAGATCTGAGCAGCTAATCGGATACTGTATATGAAATTTGTTGGGTTCCCCCCCCCCCCCCCCCCCCCAACCAAGATCCTTTCATCAAAGCAAATAATACCAATTTATTGACTTCACCAGCAATACAAAACCTTACTTAGAGTCACAGTTTGACAGTGGGGTTCACTTCACTCAACTTACTTATGGTCACACTTACGCAGTGGGGATCACTTTGCTCAACTTACTCAGGGTCACAATTAGGTAGTGGGAATCACCTTACTCAACTTACTCAGGGGCACAATTAGGCAGTGGGAATCACCTTACTCAACATACTCAGGATCACACTTAGGTAGAGGGAATCACCTTACTCAACTTACTCAGGGGCACAATTAGGCAGTGGGAATCACCTTACTCAACATACTCAGGAGCACGCTTAGGTAGTGGGAATCTCCTTACTCAACATACTCAGGATCACACTTAGGTAGTGGGACTCACCTTACTCAACTTACTCAGGGGCACAATTAGGGAGTGGGAATCAACTTACTCAACTTACTCAGGGTCACACTTAGGTAGTGGGAATCCCCTTACTCAACTTACTCAGGGGCACAATTAGGTAGTGGGATTAAACTTACTCAACTTACTCAGGGTCGCACTTAGGTAGTGGGAATCTCCTTACTCAACATACTCAGGATCACACTTAGGAAGTGGGAATCACCTTACTCAACTTACTCAGGGGCACAATTAGGCAGTGGGAATCACCTTACTCAACATACTCAGGGTCACACGTAGGTAGTGGGAATCACCTTACTCTACTTACTCAGGGGCACAATTAGGTAGTGGGATTAAACTTACTCAACTTACTCAGGGTCGCACTTAGGTAGTGGGAATCTCCTTACTCAACTTACTCAGGGGCACAATTAGGGAGTGGGAATCAACTTACTCAACTTACTCAGGGGCACAATTAGGTAGTGGGATTCAACTTACTCAACTTACTCAGGGTCACACTTAGGTAGTGGGAATCACCTTACTCAACATACTCAGGGTCACACTTAGGTAGTGGGAATCACCTTACTCAACTTACTCAGGGGCACAATTAGGTAGTGGGAATCAACTTACTCAACTTACTCAGGGGCACACTTAGGCAGTGCAGTAGGGGTCAACGATGT